GTATTAGTACTTCGTATGTCCATTCCACGAAATGGGTCCTTGTAAGCTGTCCGCAGATTATCGATTGGATTTAAATCAGGAGAGTTTCCGGGCCAGTCTATAGTACTTTGACTTACTCACTGGTAATGCTTGCCAGTGTGTTCGTGCAGCGTTACAATTGTCATACGCCTCCTTAGAGTAAAGCCCATCACAGACAATTGTCGTAGGACAACTAATCGACAATCGAGATAATAGAGTCTGGGTGTGATAAAAATCTGATGCAATCACGGATCACGCAATATATATAAAGGCCAAACATTTTTCATCACACACCTCGAAAATAGATTCATATTGCTGCACACCACTTCAAAAAGCCTAATCTGAGGAAAAAACAGAAATCGATTACACCCTGTCAATCCAGTAGGTCTAAAACTGACTATATGGTGAAAGAAAGGAAACTAAAGCGGTTGTTTCAATTAATTTGCACAAAGGCATATATACTCCTGTCTTGAAAGTAAGTCTGATCGATTTGATAAGGTCAAACAATCTTTTGTTACCTGCAGCAAGGAATGACTTTTTAAAAAAATGTAACGCCTCCAATACGAAACTGTTCTCTTTTACTCGTCCAAGAATTTTACTTTCCATTAGCATGGCTGATGCTAACCACCATGGGACTGAGGCATTGCGCCTTCTTGGACTAACGTTTTCCGTTGACATGAAGTAGAAAGACAATATCGAATCAATTGCTAAGTCTGCTGCTAAGAAATTTGGTTCACTGTGTCATGTTAGACGATTTTTCTCTCCAGAATCTATCTTACATATTTATAAGTCTCCCAACCGTCCTTACTTTAAATATCACTAGTGGTCTGGTGCATCTGCAATATATTTAGGGATTCTTGATTCAATAAAAAGAAGAATCTGCAATGTTATTGGTCCTAACCCGTCATCTCAGTTTCATTCTTTTTCCCGCTACCGCCGTAACGTAGCTTCCCTCTGCCTTTTCTATAAACACTTTCATGGTAATTCTTCTGATGAACTCTATTCTATGTTATTTTATTCCTTACTCCACAATTTGGGCATATGGGAACTTGTTAGGACTTCATAGAGATTTTGAGGTATAATGGCAAGTAAGAATCTGGTGTTTTGGTGTAAGGAATACTGTTGTATGTTTAGGTCAGTAATTGTGGCTAGCTAAGTTTAAGATAAGAGAGATTGAAGACCAGCTTTTTCCTATCCCTCTTTTTTTCGCCTTGTGACACATTTTTTTTATTATCAAAATTTAATATTACCATAGTTCCCTATGTATAATATGCAATCCTTTTTTAAAATAATAAGCAAAATTAGGGGTGCGTATTATGCACAGCTACAAAAAATCTGTAAAAAATTTCCGTTTTATAGGTCGATTTTAGATGCAAAATGACTACTCACCACAAACCTACGACAATTTGACACTCAGCGATTGCGACCCGATAAGGATGTCAAATACAATCATATGTACCTAACAATACTTATAAATGTAAAATGAAATAAGAATTATCATAAAACTAAATTGGAATAATATTATTCTATGTTTAAAAGCATTAGGAAACTCTTACTTTAATGAAATTGGACAGGTACAATTTATAGGGTTTGATTACCAAAAAGGGTGCGTATTATGCATGAGTAGAAGCATTTTTCTACACTTTCAGCACAATTCTAATGGTGCGTATTATGTGCGAGGACGTATTATGTATGAAGAATTACGGTAATTAGAATTATATTATTCTATGTTTAAAACCATTTTTTTTAATAAGATGGTAATCGGAGGGCGTAATGAATTTGGAGATTACCAAACAAGTATCTTACCTCTCCTCGATCTACTCTAAGACAAACAATATGGCTTCCGTTTTGCCCGGTCTACAGCTGATGTGCTTACGACCATCACTGAATATGTATATCAAGCTCTTGATAATAACGGCGAAATTCAAGGTGTGACTGTACACATCTCGAAGGCGTTTAATAGGGTTTGGCATGTTGGCCTTCTCCGTAAGCTTCATGGCTACAGTATTAAAGGACAATTATTTGATTTAATTTAATTATTCCTATCAAATCGTGAAATGGAGGTTGTTCTGAATTGTTTCTCTTCCAGATCTTTTCATACGAACGCAGGTGTTCCCCAAAGGCTCTATTCTGGGTCCTACACTGTTTCTGATCTTCACCAATGGTCTTCCTGGTGTCATCAATTCCCAAGTAACCATTTATGCAGACGACAAAATCATTTACTCCTGTCTCAATAGTAAAGCCGGCATGACTGACAAAGTTAAACTGGCCGCTGTTCCCGAAAAGAACTCACGTCGTTAATTGGGGCAGGAAATTTGTAAATTTTAAAGCCTCCAAAATTAAACTGCTCTTATTCAACGACCACAGTGAAACTTTCCTGCATACCATCAGCATGGTTGATGCTCGGCTTCGGGAGAGACCCTCATCGCGCCTTTTTGGCCCCGTGTTTTCGACTGACTTGAGGTGGAACCAATACATTGAATCAATAGCTGCATCTTTTGCAATGAAACTTGCTTCTCTGTGTCGTATCAGAAGGTTTTTCTCGTCAGAGTTCATCTTACACATTTACAAATCTACCCTTCGTCCGTGCATTGAATACTGTTGCCATATCTGGTCCGGTGCCCCTCCTGTTCCTCTCTAGGTTCTCGTCAAAATCCAAAGAAGGATCTGCAATGTAATCGATCCTGACCTGGCATCTCGACTTCAGTCTCTTTCTCACAGACGTGATGTGGCTTTCCTCTTTCTTTTCTACAAATATTTTCATGGCAACTACTCTGAGGACCTTTTATCCCTGGTGCCCGGACTACATAAATTTAAGCGTGCTACTTGATTGGCATCTAGGTCCCACCCTTTTACCGTTGAAATAGATAAATGTAACCGCCCCTTCTACTTCAACAGTTTCTTTTCTTGCACTTTCCGACAATGGTACTTCTTTCCCCTTAAAAAATTAAAAAAACAAAACAAATGACGTCACACATTACGAAATGGACAAAGTCCGACAATTATTTTAAGACATTTTTATGTTTATACATTTTATTTATATAATAAAATAATTGTCAGACTTTGTCCATTTCATAATTTGTGACGTCATTTGTTTACATTTGATACGCCATGAGCAGATATGAATGTACTTGAGAGATTCATGGAAGATTGAAGTTTAAATACAGTAAAATCGACCTTGCCAACCGAACGCTCCTTCGTGGCCAAATCGGTAAAGGCACGTCAAGCTAAATGACGGTTCCGTATAGGATACATGTTCGAATTCTGTCGGAGGACGAATGTTTTCTATGACAATTTCTTGGACATTCATGCCGGTAAATGTTGTTTAATACTGTTTATTATAAACAGAGCATTTACTTAAATATTTGTATCTCTAAAAGAATGTATAAACATAAAAATGTTTTTAAAATAATTGTCGGACTTTGTCCATTTCATATAATAAATATATATATATATATATATATATATATATATATATATATATATATATATATATATATATATAAATATAAAATATAAAAATGAAGAGAAAGAAAAAGAGAAGAGATTTAGAAAATCTGAAAACCATCCTCCATATTAACTCTTTAATAAGGAAACATATTGTTTTCTATTTTCAAATGTAAATATCTTCATCTAAAGTTACCGAACCTACCCTGTTTCATCCGTTAGGTATTCATCATACTGGACTTTGTAGATGTCGCTATGTCTACACTTGCGCACGAAACGAGAGGCGCTGGTAGTTTCAAAATCTTTTGAAAGAATATTTTTGAAAAGTGTATTTTTGAAAGTATATTTTTTTTTCGGTCCAGCCAAATTGATTTGTATTCTTTTTCTTTTTCTCTCCATCACCTTTGACCCTGACTATTCCACATTCTTTCAAATTTCAAACTCTTCATTCAAATCCAGTCGGATGAAATCGTAACGGATGAAACACGTCGGAATACCTTTTTCCAAATTTTTATATTATATATATATATATATATATATATATATATATATATATATATATATATATATATTACAGCAATAAAACAAAAAAAATAACTCAACAAAGAATCTGTATTTTTCTTTTTCTCTAAATCACCTGATATCTATGTTGATCAAAGTTTTTTTTTTTGTTAAAAAAATAAATGTGCTGTGTTAAAATAAAAAACATTTGAGCCATTGAGGATCAGTTTTAATAATTAATATTACTAGGATCCACCTGAATTATATACCAACTGATCGATTACCTGTACTATATATATATATATATATATATATATATATATATATATATATATATATAAGCAAATGTAAATGGATATAGATCCGACAGAATGAAGAAAAATTTGGAAAAACAAACCAAAAATCATTAAATGCAATTATATTTGTTTAAAATGAATGAAATGTCGACGTCTGAAAGACGGTTTAATAAACCTATTTCAGGACAATTATTCATTAAAATACAGGTTTCATTAAATTTGAAACGTCAGACGTCGTATTTCATTCATTTTATTTGCAAATATAATTGCATTTAATGATTTTTGGTTTTTTTTTTCCAAATTTTTTCTTCATATATATATATATATATATATATATATATATATATATATATATATATATGTAGATCTGATGAATTGGATCTTGATTACGATTCCGGTGTAATAAATTATAACCATGAATATTAGTGTTTCAGCCTTTTATATTATATTCTTACTCTATCCTGGACATTGAGTTCTGAGGGGATTCTATCCTTTTTGGGAATTTTATATATATATATATATATATATATATATATATATATATATATATATATATGACCACTAATATTATCAATTTCTCTCTCTCTCTCTCTCTCTCTCACTATATATATATATATATATATATATATATATATATATATATATATATATATATATATCTCGATCAGTTTGCTCTATAACTCAATGCACAAAAAAAAAATTTAAAAGAAAATATTCTTCTCATTCAGTTTTTTTTAGGCTTACCCATCATACTCTCCTTTTTTTCCTTTCTTTTCCATAATCCCCCCCTCTGTCACATCTGTTTAAAAGTGCCTGTCCACTCGTCACTTTTCTACTTCCCCTCCTTCTCTGATATTTTCTCTCTTCCTTTCCCTTCCCACTGTCAATCTAATATATTATATCAGTCCTGTCTATTATCTTCATTCACTAAGAGACTTTGGTCTGAAGCGTGAATATCTTCGATATTCATGAAATAAATTTTAACCAAAATAAATACTTATGGTTTTCTTCGTGATTATTATTATTATTATTATTATTATTTTCTTTGATTTCTGGCGTTTACACATTTCTTTCCGGGTCCCGCCCAGGGACCTAAGGTTAGAAATGGCATCATGACACTTTCAACTGACAAAAAAAGAAAAAAAAAATTACATAGATAAAGCCCTTCGTAAAGTGTGGGCTGTACTTGTCAGAACAATTTTTTGTATCTCCTTGAGGCACGGATTTCCAGGAATCCCTTCAATTAGTCTACTGCAATCTTTTCCCTTATTATTATTATTATTATTATTATTATTATTATTATTATGTTCTGTAGTCTACATTGAGCTCTCCCTGGATTAATATCCTCCTTGAAGTCATCCCTATCAGTCAAAAACGCGTAATACTTATATATATATATATATATATATATATATATATATATATACGGGCCGAATTTTTTTAAGTCTCCCCTCTTAATTTGATACTGAAATATATTTGAGTGTTGCATGCATATGTGGGAAAGAGAGAAGTAGAGAGACGGAGAGAGAAGTAGTAGACATAGAGAGAGAGAAGCAGAGCGACAGAGAGAGGGATACATAAACAATGAATGTGTTACGCTTGTTAACGATCAAAGAAAGGATATTACATAAAAAATGAATTAGATACAAGGCAACAGAGGTAGTCATGATAGAGGGATAATGTTAGAAGGATTATCGTGGTTTTATTTTATATATTTCTTGGGGAAAGGGCTTCTTGGAGAGGCTGATAAATTTTCAGTAATTGTCCGTGTAGTTTTTAATTGCGCGTATATCTGTGAGTGAGTGTGTGTGTGTGTGTGTGTGCGGGCGCGCTTGAGAGAGAAAGAGAGCCTTTGAGAGAGAGAGAGGGGGGAGGGGGGGGTCGGCGGCGGAGTAATAGAGAAATAGAAATAAACAAAAACAGGAACGAACGAATAAATGGAAAATAAAATCAAAATTGTAAAGTCACAGGAGCCACTCAAAGTAGAGGGCTGCTGTTAACTCGTTAATAAGAATGAGGTGCGTGTCATTACACGGTAAGAAGCTTTTGATTTTAAATACAAACTGGAGGAAAAGTTCTTGGTAGAAGTAATTTCTTTATTTCATCGATGGGGGAAGGACTTCTTACTTTTCTGAGTAATTTTCAGCACCCCCTCATAAACTGATGGGATTGTAAAACCGTGTGCATGTAGCTGTTGATTGATTGTTTTTTACGGCTTATCAACCTTTTGCAGGTTATATAAAGTCAGAAAATATATTTTTTTTATATTCTAATGATTATTTTGGTTTGGGCGATAATTATGATTTTGTGATACAAATCTTACTAGTTAACCCATAGATGGGGGGAAAGAGATGGATCTCTATTCTTCCCAAGTGTATTAGCGCGTAAGTGAATATAAGGTACTCAAAGGCAATTGGAGCTCGACTCTAAGATTTAAAATTTCGAGCTATTATCGATTACGCCATCCTTAGATCCAAGCTTACAACACCCAAGTAGTCGCTCATGTAGGTACTGACCAGGATCAACGTTCGGTGTTTGTAGTGGGGACCGTTGTTTCAATGTGATTTGACCGTAAGCCCAAACCATGAACATGACCCGAGTTTTCAGGTCGATGTTTGGATTTTGTAACTAAATAGTACACCAAGCGCAAAAGCCTTTGTATTTACTGCTATACTAAATTTATTGTAAACTAGCTTACAAGTCACCCTTCAAGCAGATTTTACGCTTTTCGTCCTTTGGCCTTTTGCCTTTAGAATCCTATGCACGCAAAAGTTATAAGAATTTGGAAATAATAAAATTATTTTATCTGTATTTGACACCTTAATTCGGCCAAATCTTTCTTCGTATACGCAACCGAACTCCGTGGTTTTATTTTTCGCGCAATTTTTATTTTCTTTTAAAATCACCATTCTTTATGATCCCTTCACATAAAGGCACTCTTAAAATACATTTGGGAACCTGAACTATGTAACATTTTCAATACGTTACTGTAGGCGTGCTAGAAACAGAAAAAGAAACATATGGGCAACGTACCGTGCTCCGCTTAAATTTTAATTACGGTTTTATTAGACGGTAATGTTAATTGCGATGAAAAGCGAAATTAAAGTTAAACCTTTAATAAAGAATTGTTTTGTAAACCTTTCAATCTGCTCGATATTTAAATTTAACTCTAAATGAGTTATTTATTTAATTTTTAATCGCGTGTAACTACAGTAGTTACTTCAGGTTTTTTATCATTCGACAAGATGGAAAAACGAACGGACGGACGGACAGACACACGTACACTGCGCTTTATTTATATAAATGATCCATACTAGATTTTATAGAATTCAGTAACTCCACGTTCATTTTAATGATGGCTTTAGCGCAGTTGCTTTTACTTACTTCATTCTAATTTCAGATGATAGATTCTGTTTAGGTTTATGTGGAACCCAGAATTCTTAAAAATTAGTCCGATTCAAGCAATCATTTTAATTATTACAATTTTCAATTACAGAAGAATTTAAGATTTATAAGTATTGTCACGTGAAAACGTAGCCTGCTCGAAATCGGAAATTGGCTCTCTGAGCCGTTATCCATTACACCACCCGCACACCCAAGCTTACAGACGCTAATATTCCCAAGCGGTCACCCATCTAGGTACTGACCAGTCTTGACATTGCTTCACCTCTGTGTCTATACGAAACCGATGTTTCAATGCGATATGGTCGCAAGACTATTGTACCATCAGTATACCCAAGCTTACAGCCAATGGTATTCCCATGTGGTCACCCATTTGGTTACTGACCAGACTCGACGTTGCTTAAGATTGGTGATCATACGAGAACAGGCATTTCAAAGTGCTATGGCCGTAAGTGGCGTGTAGCTGCTTGTTTGTGTGTGTGTGTGTGGAGGTCGTGTGCGTGAGAGAGAGAGAGTAAGATGGAGAGAGAAAAAACAAAATGGAAAAAAAACCGGATTAAAAACGAAAGACGTAATCATTAATCATGTTCATTAATCTCATTTAATCTTAACGCTATTTAACACGACAGATTAAAAAAAAGTGGATCGACATTTGATTCATTTAAAAGGGCAAAGAATTCTCTTTCTTTCCCTCCTCCTTCTCCTTCTTTCTCTCTTTCTCTCTCTTTCTTTCTCTCCTCCCTCTTCTTCTGTCTCTCTCTTTCTTCTCTCTCTCTCTCACTCACTTCCTCTCTCATAACAAGATTAAAGCCAAATACTTATATAACTATAGCATCACACTGCAGAATAAAATCATTCTTCACTGGGAGAGAAGACGCCATTTGCCATATGCCAAAGTACTTAGAATTTTCGCTCTCCGAGTATAAGACTACAGGCCATATTATTTTGAAACACCGGTTGCCGTATGGTCACCGAAGTTAAGCAACATCGAGGCTGGTCATAAACTAGATGGGTGACCACTTGGGAATGCTAGATGCAGTAAGCTTAGATATACAGTTGGCATAATGAATTTACAGACATAACACGTTGAAACACCGGTTTCCGTACGAATCACCGAAGTTAAGCAACATCGAGGTTGATCATAAACTAGATGGGTGACCACTTGGGAATACTAGATGCTGTAAGCTTAGATATACATTTGGTATAATGAGCTTACAGGCATAACCCGTTAAAACACCGGTTGCCGTACGGTCACCGAAGTTAAGCAACGTCGGAGCTGGTCAGTATTTAGTGTGGCTGTGTTTATAGTTCATATTATTGAAATTCACATGGAGACCTACCATAATTTATCAGTAACATACTGGATGATAATGCAAATAGCCTCATCCACATGTAAAAAAGGCCCAAAATGATGGAAGCATTATTAATAAAAAAAGAAAAAAGCTAACACTAAATAATATCAACTATGAACACGGCCAAAATTGGCTGACCCTGTTTGGAAAATAGACTATACCTATAACTCCTGATACATACATAAAACAATTTATACATTCAGTTAAAAGTAAAAATAAAATCAACTCTGATAATAAGTAAAAGAATAGCCGAAAGCGCTCAGTCATACAAACCATTTGGTCAGTTTTTACATTTATTTATGTTCAGAAAACAGGAAAATTACCAGAACACAAGAAATATTAAATAAAATGCATTTTTGTGGTTTTGTCTGTCGTTTTGTTAAATAGGATATTATATATATATATATATATATATATATATATATATATATATATATATATTAATTAGAAAATTCTAATATATATATATATATATATATATATATATATATATATATATATATATATTCCAGGTGTAACAGCAAATTGCCCAAATGGTTAACAGTAATAGATAACAGATAAGGAACTCGTAGTAATGAAATGTTTAATATGTAAAAAAACACTAAACTCATTGAGTTTCTTTTTTCCAGACGTTTAATCATCTTGACATCATTTGTCGTAAGAATCACTGAAAATCGCTTTGTTCAGCTAGATAGAGAACAGGTTAAAATTGTTTTATGTCAGCCCCACTCTGTTTCCAATTGAGTAATGGTGAGAAGAAAATGATCATTCGGGCCTAATGTAATGGTACCAACATTCATACTCTGGCTTCCATATTTAATGTCTATTCACAAACCATAAATAGAACGGTGAATAAGTTTTAAAAAAGAGGGAACAGTAGAAAGACAAAGTGGATTAGGAGGTCACAACAGCAAGAGGGATCATCATTTCAATATTTATATAAAGAGATAAAAGATCCGCTGGTGGATAAGAAAACCCTTTCACTGTTGAAACTGTTAAATGTATATTAATCTTCTACTCCAAAGCTTCATATCTCGCACCTCTCGACTGTGGAACTCCCTTCCCTATTCCTGTTTCCCTGATAGCTATAATCTCCAGCTATTCAAGTGTAATGTCAATCGACATCTCCAGTTGCCTTGATCTATCCACTATCCTTTTCCTCATCCTTTCCTCTATCACTACTATCTACTCTCGCTCCAAATCTTCTATAATATTTGCGTGCTAGTGGCTTCCCATTTCACCTTGGGGTGAAATGGTTTTAAAAAAATTCCGGGAAACATGTAAGGCAGCTTGTTCACTCCAGGGCAGAAAGTTAATTGGGTAGAGCTGGCGAAGTTTATCTTGAATACGTAGAAAATGGTTGTGAAAAATATATATATATATATATATATATATATATATATATATATATATATATATATATGAACTGTATTTCAGTTCTTCATGAGCTTCCGATCCTTAGCTATAATTAATTAATGATAAACGTGTCATTTTTATTTATGATCGATTTCATCACGTTTCTTTTGTCAAGCTTGAAGAGTAATTATATATTCTTATTGCTCAAAGTCGCGTCCAATAGCGTTTTTAAAAATCTTAGAGAATTCCAGTAAGATATCTTTAATCATTTCTATGATACAACGGTTCAAAATTTAGTCTAACAAGTGGAAATTTCTGCTCTTATACCCTGTAACTCTATTGTATTATTCTAACGGTTATTTGGTGAGCGATAATAGTTGTTTCAAAGTATTCTTGAGGCAATTAAGTGGATATAATTGTGGATCCGAATGCAGTTTTCTGGTTATTTTATCATGTTGTTTGTTAACTCTGTTTTTAGTTGCTTTGTTATTTGTCGTTGTTTGTTAATGTTGCGCTTAATTGGGTTTGTGTGTGCGTTCGTAATTTGTTAATTTTATTTATTAATTGCTTTTTTATTGATTTGAATTGAAGTATTTTCTTATTTATCTATATTATTTATATATCTGTGAACGGCATATATATATAGTTGAGCCAAAACACAACACACATGGCCTGACAATTGCGTTTACGCATGAAATAAACTGTCGCTGCTAGGTGTTGATATCTCAATATCTATTTTATATTTATATAAATATCACTGAGTATTTGTCTATATTTCTGAGATGAGGTATTATGTACATTATTTACATTATTTGGACTATTGTCCTCATCTTGTCGCGATATTTATTACAAAGTTTCGGTCGTTGTAATAAAAAGCCTTCTTCAGTATCTGTTATCTTTGTTTTGATGAGGTATTATATAGCCCTATTATACATTATTCGGACTATTATCCTCATCTTTGTTGCCATATTTACTACAACGTTTCGACCATTGAACGCTCCGGCCTTCTTCAGTATCTGTCTATATTTCTGAGATGAGGTATTATGTACATTATTTACATTGTTCGGACTATTGTCCTCATCTTTGTCGCCATATTTATTACGTTTTGGCAATTGTACGCTCCGGCCTTCTTCAGGTGGTTGAACCCTTTATTTCACTCACTGGGGTAGACTGTTTTAGTTCCACGTGCCATGTTTAATGGATTTCATCTTTAAAGGTTATCTCCTGTTAATTTTCTCTGAAAGTTGTCCTCCACTGCCTTAATGGGGGTCAATTTCAAGGACACATGGCACAGTGGAAAAAGGCGTTAGTTAGAACCAGTAACAAGATGCTTTTAATGGATTGACAAAGCCGTAAGTCCGAATAATGTAAATAAATATATGATGTTGAACATTTATAATATATGAATATAATATATATTTAACAGCAATATATATATATATGCATGTTTCATTAAAAACGACAGACAAGGTGCTACGGTTAAAATTTTATTTAATTTTTCTTGAGTTCTAACAAGAGCTTTCTTTTCTGGACAAAGGGTGTGTAAGAACTGTCCAAATGTTTTATATTTCCGAGCGCTTTCGGCTATACCTTTAGCCATTATCAAGGATGATTTGATTTTTCAGTTTAATTGAGTGTGTGCATTATGTGTATGTATTAGTGTGTGGTAGGGATGTTTTTAATTTCCGAATACGGTTAGCACATTGTGGCCTTGTTCGTAGTTAATATTGTTAAGAGTTGGCTTTTTCTTTTTTATTATTAAAGCTTCCATTATTTTTAGTCTTATAATGCAATTAATATATTTGTGTTTTCTACTAGTATGTTTCTAATGGAGTCTGGTAAGTTTGTGTGTGTGTTTAAATGGGTTCTAATGAAACTGGGATCAGATAGGTGTAAGAAAAATGAAATAAAAAGCCTAACCGTAGTACCTTGTCTGTCGTTTTTAATGAAACATGCATAAAGGAAGGATTGCTGCCTAAATATACAACCATTAAATATATATATATATATATATATATATATATATATATATATATATATATATATATATATATATAAAGTGTATGTTCTAATATGTTTATATCTTACGTTTATTTACCGATACGTAAGCAGAATTTTGATCAAAAATTATTACTGCATAAAGTCCGATCAGAATTATTAATGTTCACCAAAGAATTATGTGCATTGACAGAGAATGATATTAAGTTGGAAAGTAATAATTATTTTTCATATTTAATAAATTCTTTCTTTTTCTTTCATCATTATGCTACAGAGCTTCTTGTTAACATTTTTATATATATATATATATATATATATATATATATATATATATATATATATATATATATATATATAAAGAAAAAGATTGATGTTCACTCAGAATGGCACTAGATTTAACCTGTACTGATCTCAATCCGTCTCGCCATATCCGAAAAATTCTAAGACTAATGCACTTTAAAGTCTCTTTGAATCGGCTCAAAGAGTTCATCCTGATTCCTGCACGAACTCTTAGTCTTTTGAATGCTGACGAATTATAAAAAAAAATGGACAACAAAGAGTTCATATATATATATATATATATATATATATATATATATATATATATATATTCTTCTCTAATGCGCAGATCGATACACGTAATACACACTGTTTAAAATAAAATTAAAATGGGCCGACGGTTTCAAATACGAATATCTACTATAAAAACCTATGAATATATATATATATGTATATATATATATATATATATATATATATATATATATATATATATATATATGTGTGTGTGTTTTTGTGTGTGTGTGTGTGTGTGTGTGTGTGTGGTGCAATGGATAAATTGTCGTCTAAATTACTCAAAAATAAAATAACACTGACATCTCATTTTTACAGATATATTTACCGAAATGACAAAAAATATCTTGAAATAATGAAGCGTACATTTATTCAATAAAATCGCCATTGGCTCCAACCACAGCCTCCAGACGACTTCGGAATCTTCTGCAACTCTTCTGGACAGTCTCCTTGTTTATTTTGGTGAATGCTGCTATAATCCTTGCCTTCATTTCATCCTTTGTATTACATGCAGTTTTGT